CAGATGCTTCTGGTCTTCTTCTCCTCCAGCTGCTGGGGATAAGACTTACCCCTAATTTCTAATCATTGTTACCTATCTCAGATAACAATAAATAGTCTCAAAGACACTCATTTGACCTCCAGTAGAATGATCAACCAGATTTTGGGGTACACCAGAGGAACTCTGCTGCAAAATTGAGGATTTGAGATATATTACCCAGTGGTCCACTCTTGAAATAACCCCGATTTGACAAGTGGAAGGACCAAACCCAAAGCAAAAATATCTTGCAACGTTCATGCAAAGATGATGAGGAGACCAGTGAAGGGCCATCAGAGTGAGAAAAATTGAAAGATCCCTCTAACAGGTATCTTCCTGTAGGGACATCCTGAGCTAGAAGGATTTCTCCCTACAGTGGGATGAGGACAGTGACTGCAAATGTGTGGGAACTTTCTTTTGCACCCCAGACCTTCTCTGTATCAGTGTCCTAGTACCTGGGATGGAATTACAAGACATAGTGTCTTTTCTTAATAATTCCTGAAAGGCCAGAGAGCAGCAAGCTCGGGTGGCAACTGTTCTTCACACAGTCCCTGTTCTCCATCTCTTTTCCCAGGAACTGGACTCAAGAGAATAACAGTGTCCCTCTTCCATGACATAAAGTGCAATTAAACCTCACCATGAGGTGTCTAGTGACAAAACCTAAACAATGTGCAGCTCACCCCATCATGATTACTGGGAAAGAAGAGCATAGGCACTGAAGTGACTTCTCCAAGACTTTTTAGGCAAACTATAGCCAAACCTAGCCAAGAATGAAACATTGCACTTGCTAAATTGCATTGAAGTTTATTCTCTTTCATTGGGTCAAACTCACCCCAGCAGACTTCTGTTTGACTACCTGTAACAGAAACCTGATTGTAATGGTGTTTTCAATTGATCTCTGAAAATTATACTTGAAAAACACCTCCTCTGGTCTTTTTTTCCCACTCCTCAACCCCCAAACAAGAAAAAAAAAAAAGATCCATGAGAAAAAATCTCAAACCAAACCAGAACACATGAATTGAAAGTAGAAGATGCATTTATTCTACAATTATAAAAATGTATTGTACAGAACTCAGAGCTATTAGCCTTTTGTTCCTGTAGCATCATGCCAACACATATTAGAAAGACTGTTTTTCTAATATGCTCTCCATTACACCTGAGAATAATGATAACCCTAGCAGCTGATATGTAAAGAAACAGGAATCCCCATGAGTATGATCCACCTTACAGTTCTAGATATGCAAACCAGTCATTCATTATGTAAAAATGCTTCCTTCCTTTATAGTGTTTTTTTATTGTTAATAAACTGTCAGACCTTTCATTCTAAATGCTAATCAACAGTGGTATGCACCAAAAAATCTTCAAAAGACTTTTTATGTTTATGAAAGAGAAAAGAATTTGAGGAAGATTAAATGGATATAAATACACTAAGGCAAGCCGTGTATATGGGTAAATGGTTGAGCAAAAACCTGTTTACTAGGTGTCAGCATAGCATTACTATTTTGGCATATATAAAGGTAAAATACAGTTGAGCTGCACAGGTTTTAAATCTGTAGTTTATACCAAGGGCTACAGTGACACTGGCAGAGTAGCTATCTATCAGATTTTTTTGTCACTGAGAAAGCTGTAAAAAATTCAAGCTTGATTTTCTCCTTCCTTTCCTTAAGGTGAGTCAGCAGTACTACCACTGATGTCAATGGTGTTACACTGGTGTAAAATTGGGGTGAGAGAGAGGCGAATAAGCATCCTAATTTACTGTTTCATGCCATTTTTCTTTTTAGGGTTTAGTCCTATAGTCCTCCAGAACAGCAACCAAAATCACTGATACTGTGCCTGTCTAAAGGTTACTCACAAAGGAAAATGAAAAATAGGTTTCTTCTTTTTCTTTTTAAAACTGTATATGAAAGCCTGCAAGCCTGTTTGCCCCCTTTTTCTCCCCACAATATTTTCCAATGTCAGAAACACAGGTTTTTTTCCATGCTGTGGTCAGCCTGGAGTGCACCATCACGAGGACTGCAGGACCAAAGAAAGTAGAAGTGGGAACTTTTGTATTCAGATTCCCTTCTTGTTTTTATTCCAATTCAATTAAAAAACTCTAAAACAGCTGCATTAAAATCCATGCATTGCTAGGCCCCATTGCTGAGCAATTAAGGATGAATTAAGTTCAATGTTCACTCTCCAATCATAGATATTGAAGGCGTGCTTTCAGTAATTATTTATTTACCCTAGGGAAGAAAAAAAAAAAAGAATAACAGCAGGTACTATGAGGCCAGGCACTGTTTCATTTTTCATTCCTCTTGATAGAACAGATGAGACTGACTCAAATGATGTTATGGTTTCGTTTTGAAGATGAAGTGGAAACTGCTGTATATTTATGGGGACTGGTAATGCATATTTCAGAGGTGCTCAGGGTTGTATCAAGGTGGGTTACTCAGCCAAGTCAAAATGTGTGCAGGAGGGACAGGTTTGTCATGGTTCTCTCTAAGCACCCAGGGTGGAGGGTTGAGTTTCTGGCTTTCAGAGCATCCTTGCTCAGAGGAGACATTGAAGCATTTCCCGCTAGATACTTCATCCTGTCACAATATGGACTACTAAATTGTGTTCATTGGCCCCCATTTTTTTTTCCCAGAAGATACCTCGGGCAGAATCTCCCTTTCTTTCTGCTGTGCCAACAAGGGCACCATCCACTGTTCACGAGTAAGGGTGAAAAGCTCAATTTTAAAGTCCTCTCTGTATGAAAAATCCCTGCACCTCCTCTAGAAATCCCTCACCTCCTCTGAGCAGCAATGATAAGAGCATTAAAATCAGGTCAGATCAATGTCATCAGGATATTAACAAATTTCATTGTGAAAAAAGATAATGAGGGTGGGCTTAGCACAGAGGGAGGTGCTACATGCCAGCAACAATACATGTACTACTACAGATGTTCCTTCACAGAATTTCTTTGGTAAGTCATCTAGTTCTAGGGTAAGCATATTCTTTTAAAACTACCAGCCTTACAATCCTTTTAACACATTAAAGATCACTTACTGTTTATGGTAGATGTAAAGATTTAATGACTGATGATTAAATGCACAGTGAACTTATTAAAACCTGAAAGAATTAAATAATTCAAATTGGCAGGAGATGTAAATTTAAAATTAGTTTTAATAATTCTGCATAAAATGTAACTCTTTTTAAAATAAGAGCATGGAATCATGAGAGACATTTTTTCCTATTTTTACATGTTAAGTTTTAATCCACTTTTGTGTTTCCCCTTCAAAATACCAGGCATTGATTTAAAGGAAAAAAAAAATTGAAAATAAGTCAAATAAAAAACCATGCTCCTGGTAGGCCTTCCTTTAATGTCATAAAAGAAATGGTATAAATATTTCTTTGAAGAAATAACACTACCGTAAATGAGAAACTATTCATTAAAATGAGGCATTTTTGCTTTTTCTTCATTCTCTTTTATTTTTTTGTTTCAGCTTTGTTTTTTTTTAGTTTTAGTTTGCACTAGATCTACAGGAATAGTTGATACCAGCAGTGAAAATGCTTTCTTCGCTCAGCATCTTCTCATCAGAGATTACAACATGATAGAAAACAAGCCAACTTGCCTCACACACCACCATGTGCCTCCCATTACTCAAGGTCACCTACAGTCTATCTAATGTGTAATTTTAGCAATTCAGTACTGTTAAAATCCAGCTGTTCAGGTTTACAGGTTGTATCTATAGTCCAAACCCACGGACAACTCAGTTTTCCTCATTATCATTTTTGAAGCACATGCATAGTTGTACTTGATACAGTTTAAAGGATAGATGTGCTGACTGCACATTCCATTTAATATGACTTTTACCCTAAATCTTACTGTGTATCACAGCTGTGTTTCATTAATTTTTCTTTTCCATGTGACTATCTTTGGTGCTCACATACACTATATTTTGCCTGGGACACTGACCCTCCTAGGGGTCAACACACCTATGAGGTTCTGAATCAAAACCATTTGTAACAAGAAAGCTTTAGATGTGATTATTTTATCCTCCACTGGCTCATTTCAAGACACTCACAAAAGCTGAGTACTAAGCTAAGAATAAGGAGAGGGAAGTGAATTATCTCCAGTAATTTAAATAGATAAACCAGCTTTGGCTCTCTATACCCTGTTTCCCAAGTGCTGAGTCCTCAATTAATGCTTGTCTTATCTCCTTCCCTTAGTTTTCCATGTCTCCAATTATCCTTCCTTAAATGACATTTTAGATAGCAGAAAAATCAAAATAGCCTTATAAATAACATATTTAGAGTGTGACTATTCCTTTCTCAAATTGCATCCCAGCTTAAACAGAAGCGAGTGGAGACACCTCCAGTGTGTGAATGAAAGGGTGCATATTGCATATAAATGTGAGGGTTTCTTATTTACATGTTGCTCATCTTTATGCAAGTTAAAGACGTTTACAGCTGAGGCTGATATCACCTTCCCCAGGAATCTCAGGCGCTGGTCAAGGCTACAAAGAGCAAGTGCAATCAAGCTCGTAACATGTTTTTCATGGAAAGTGAGAAGTCCTATAACCTGGGAGGGCATGAGGGGAAACTAATGCAATTCCCTTTGAAAAGATAGCCGACATTTTCAAAGAACAAGCACTGTACATTAGTTCAGGTTATTTAATGGCTTTCATGTTGTAGGAATATTTGCCAGTGATGAAAATGTTGCAGAGCCAATCAAACCGCGGTGCCACACAGCCTGCCACACTCGGAGGACAGTGTTTAAAATTACCCTTATGCATTATTCATTAAGAGTTGATGTTTATGCAAATTGCAGAAGCATGTTTCCAATCTGGCCATCTCGGGTTAATAACAACTATAAAAACAATAGCAATAATAATTATTAAAAAAAAATACATACATAGCTGCTCCCTGATCAAACTAGCAAGATTTGAGTCGTCTCCAGAATCTATATAATAAATGCTAATTCCCCTTCATTAAATGCATTAAAAGAATTCAAACCTTACCTGGTTAGCTTTGTAGGGCCCTCAGATTTTCTGGGTGAAATATCTGACTGTGTCGGCAACCAATAAAACTGAACTGAAAATCTGATTAAGGGCACTTAATGCAAAGCCACTCAGTGAATATTCATATGATGTCTGTGTTTATGCAAATTAAAGGAAAGAAAGCCCAAGAGGATTGGTTGCCATAGCCCACAAACACTGTATACAGCAGAAAAACAGAGAATAGTGACAAATAAATCTTGAAAATTCACAGCTGGAAAGGAGAATGAAGAGTATAATAAAATAATAAAAGTCTTACAATGCATTAAAGGTTTCAAAAGCTTTATTTAATCATGCAATTTTTAACCTTGTCAGATATTTTTATACAATGTACAAATCTGCAATTATCACCATCCTATAAGATGATATAACTGATGTTTGTCAACTATATTTATTCTGTAACTGTATAAGCAGAGTCCTTAAGCATTTCAAGGAGGTGAAAAATAATTACAACAAAAATTGTGGTGTGATACATTAAGAACAAAACCCATGAGCTTGTGCCACACTTTATTTAGTCTTCCAGGTGAGGCTTTCTTCTCAAGGAAAATGATAGTGGAAAGTAGAGTGTGCCAGTGGGAGTCTGATAGAAAGCTCCTTGGTATCTTAGGTTTGTTGTGGAGCTGCTTCATTCCAGATGCAGGCTCATATGTGATAGAGCTAATATTACTGTTGCACTGGGCTTGTTCCCAGCCTAAAATAATTTTTAAGGGACCATGGGTTTTTATAATTAAAAATCAAAATGCATGTGAAATTTATATGAAATGTTATTTCTCAAATCAGATTCAAATATATCAGTCCAAAGTCCTTAATATGGTAATCACCGAACCCAATAGTGCTTTTTTTACATGAGATATTTAAAAATCAGAATGATACAGTGTATCAGCATTGCCATTTTCTTGATGAGACAGAATACACATAAGTAGAAATACGACTTTTATGCTGTATGTTATATTTTAGTCTTTTCTATTTATTCCCATAAAGAAATTACACTTTCAAGAGAGGTTCCCACTTGTAGATAACCATTTATTAACAGTGCCATTGTAATTCAAGGTTTAAGAAATATCAGGTGAAGCCATCTCACACACCACATTTGAATTACATCTGGCTGTTTTGTGTGATTTCCACTGATATATATTGGCTGCTGTTAGCAGACTATTCTTCATCTGAAATAAAAGAACAACCACCAGGACAAAACCCAAATGCTGCTCTAGGGGTATGCATGAACAGAGATCACTGGTTTGTAAGAGGCTGATGGGCTTCCCTTCCTGATGAGTTGAGAACAAATGCACTCTCCCAGAAAGTGGAATGATGGTGCCATAGCAGGAAATTGAGGGATACCAATGGTTTCATGACTGCTGAGATTCCACTGCCAGTTTTGTTTTGGTTTTGAAGACCAACCATCCCATTCCACGTTTTCACTAGTCCTAGAGGGAACTGGGGATTTTGCCATACCAGCTTATGATTTCTGAGTTGATGCCCTTGCTTGTTGCGGGATTTACTGTCTGCAAGGCACTAGCAGGTATGTTGTCACAGAATCACAAACTCAAAGAATGGGTCAGGTTGGAAGGGACTATGGTGGGTCATCTGGTCCAACCTCCTGCTCAAATAGGGTCGTCCTAGAGCACATGGTAGAGGATTGCATCCTGGCAGTTCTTGAATATCTTCACTGAGGGAAACTCCACAGCCTCTCTGGGCAATCTTTTCTTGTGTAAGGTCACTGTAAAAAAAAAGTTCATCCTCATGTTCAGGCGGAACCTCCTGTGCATTAGTTTCTGGCCGCTGCCTCTCATCCTAGGTGTTGGCACTACTGAGAAGAGCCTGGCTCCATCCTCTTGGCACCACTACTTCATACACATTGATGAGGTGTTGTTGGTACCTGAACAAGGGGAAAGAGACTTTTGGCCATGGGATACCAAAGAACCATGTGAGTGGCAGAAGGTACAAAGCAGAGGGTCCCACACGCATGGTCAGGCTGCTCAGAGCAGGCAAAGGAAGCAGGGTGACCTGCTTGGAAGGAAATTATAATAAATATCCAGAAGGAGATTAATCAACCAGTGAATATAACTATGTGTATTTAAAAATCTCAAGCTAATAGGGACAACAAGCATACACTGATTTCCTTTACATCACCCACAGAATAAAATTTATGTAACACAAGGACTTTTCTATTTTCAAGGCAGCCATACAGTGCTGAGAGTCCTACTACAGGACTCAAGTGCTCTCAAGTTTTACATTTCTTCTTGAAATATATAAGTGTAAAAAATTCTTTTCTTCAGAGAAGAAGTAATAATTTTCCCAGGCTGGACACAGCACCAGCTGTGATGTCATAAATATTCAGCCACTGACTGAGCTGGATGTGCATGTGAACATTGATGCAATGATTTAGCAAAATAGCATCTCATTCATACAATGCATGGGCATGCAAACAATCAGGTATATTCACAAGGCAGAAATAAGAGCAGAATATGAAGAAATTGTGAGAGGCCTTAATCAACTTCATTTTCTTCGTGTTGACCACAGTAAACATTAGTCCTGGGTACCAGCACGAAGTTTCCTACTGGATTTAGTGGGGTGGAATCAGTTGTGGGTGAAGAAGGTTGAGATGCTGCTGGCTTTTCAAACAGTCTTTAGTCTTACTCTCATATACTTACAAGCATTTACTTCTAGCACTGGGTACAATGTGATTCAGAATGTGATAGGGAGCTAGCTGGGGTTTTTTTCTTCTTTTTTTTTTTTTAGGGTAATTGAAATACAAGTGGAAGCTGACAAAATTCTACCTTTTCAACTCTATCATTAGTAAAGATGTATGTATATGACCTAGTTCTGTGAACTGATGTTTCTTCACTGTAGTCCTGTCAATCCCTCACCTTTCAAGCACACTAAACTAATAAAGTAAATTATTTTAAAGAATAAAGAAACAGAGAAAACTTGATACATAAATTGGCTTCTTTGTTCTGCCAATTGACACTTAAGTCATCTCTAAGTGCCTGGAAAAAAATAAAAGGCATTTCTATTGTGAAGCTGATGAACAATTAGGCAATTTCAATTCATGGGATGGCAAAATGGAAAATGCATAGTAATAATGTTTCTCATTTTCCTCTCCTGATTTTTTTTTTTTTTTTTCTGCAGCAAATACCATTAAGAGAAGCAGCAAGGGAACTTCATTTTATAACCTCTGAATTAACAATGCTGGACATTTAACTACTTTTAAGAAGCTCACATATGGAAATGACTATCCCACCACTGTTTCACAGTCATTTAGGTAAAGAGAGAACAGAGCTTTCACACTGTTTTCAAAGCTGAATGACAAAAAGACATGCAGAAGAAAACACTTCATAAGCTCATCCACATGCTCTTTATCTCCTAGATCTCCAAAGAAATAAAAATAGTAACTTGCACCACAGTACCCTACTGAAGCATGATCCAAACTTTTTCTGACTTACCACACTCTCAAGGATTCATCTAACATTTTGGAAAAGGTGATATTGAAAATGTCTCCATAACAACACTTTTTCTGTTCCTTGTCAAAGCAGCATGTCTACATGGGATTCACCTCCCTGCATTGGCTCATCTCTGACAATTTTTCCTTCTTTCAGTAGCATTTCCCGAAAACTTCTTTTCATACTTTCCTGTTTACTTCTCTCTTTATCCTTCTCTTGCTTCTCAGCTGCTGTTCCAACAACCAACTATTTACTTCTAGTTAGTAACTTTCCTGATCGTCCCACCAGCATCAAAACCCATTTCAAATTATCCCATATTATTGAAGCAGAGAAGACTGAGAGGTGGGCACTCAAATATTACACAAAAGTATTCCAAATCTGTTTTAAAGAAAGCCATTATACTGTAAACTGTTACAGAAACACCTAGAAGATTCATCCATGCTGAATAGAAAACTACCAACAAGTGAAATTTTCTTGCTAATGGAAAGTATGGAATCCTGAGATTAAAGAAAAAGCATTACCATCAAATGCAAGATTAAAAGGTGGGGAGTGCTGTGGGAGTGTGAGTGAGGGTGGAATCATCTTTTAGACTGCCTGCGACATTAGCTTCTATGAGACAAAAATAGATTTAAGGGGGAATTTTGCTGCAGTCAAAGATTTTTTTTTAAAGAAAACTGATACAAGATGGAAGAGAAATGAAAGAGAAAACATTTTTATGACATAATGGGATTTTAAAATTAAGCACAGTAGGCATAAACATCCTGTAAATCAGATACTATCCTATTTCAGTTTATAACTGGAAAGGTATGAACTAATCTCAAATTCCCCAAACTTAAGTGAAAATGCATTTTGTGTATTGTAAGACTGGCCCTGTAATGCAGCAACAGACACTAGAACTTGACAAATGGTCATCTTTAGACCTTGTATAAACCTGATGCTCAAGATAGCTTCCTTAATGATTACAGTAATATTCACAGATAAAGCATGAACACCACATATTATTTATGATCAGAGTTTACTGCTGTAAAAATCTGGCAGAAATATCTCTATGTTTTTCAGCAGTTCTTGGGAAAGGGGCATTTTTATTAATTTTCTTATATTGTATTCTGAAAATATCTATTGTCACCAGGAAGAAGTGAAGCTAACTGCTAGTGTCTAAAAATTAGCGGTCATTTGTAAGAAATATTTTCAGATAATAATGTGTTTGTCAGAACTTTACTGAAAGATTACTGGAACACACTGCTTTTACAAGGCCATGCTTTTAATTATCAACTTCATTTGTGTGGTGTGTACATCATAGTATAAATCACAGTATAGCATTCATAAAAGTTGAAGTAAAAATAACCATCTGGAGCAAAATACTTTAAAACAAAAGGTTATTTTTATATTAAATAAAAGCTTTACATTGTATATTAGTACTTTATAATTTTTTTAAGGCTACTGATATTTTTGGAGGCGTTAAAAATTTTTTTAGTAAGTTTGTCATTCTAACTTTTCTTTCTCATCAGTGATAAGAGAAAAATGCCAGAAATCTCTGCAGAGTTGGGGATAATTTGCAAGGGAAAAGAAGGTCTCATTAAATAG